ACTCTGTCACAATCAGTCAGTTTCACACTGATTCAGAGAGTGACGACCATTCTACAGCGTTCAGAAGTTCCGTTTCGTGTGCCCGATCTCAGCATGCTCCTGAATGGTATGTAATTCATCTCACTGGGGCATCAGCTCAGAAATTGTCCACTTCGAGACGCCCAGCTGAGTGAAAACCAGTTCATTTCGTATGGCCCAAACGATCGATTTCTTTCCCAGTGCCAGAAAAAGCTGGACGGAAGACCCGTCTGTCATCCTCTCCATTCTCTGTGCATGTATGGAAGGAGTCTGGCCTGAACGTGCGGCAGCGGCCCCGTAGCCGGTAGGGTCACGGAACAAAAACGGGTGCGTCCTTCGTGCCGCGACCTTGGCCTCACACTGTCCCTTCCAGGGGCGCACCTCAGCCGCGGACTGACTGTCCTCCGGGGTCTGCTTCGTGCCTGCAGTCTGTCTATCCCAGCGGACGTCGTCTACGGGTGTTCTCCGTCTCACAACTCCCAGAGGAGCCAGCTCGGCCCGGGACCGGTCTGCGGCTCCCGCCGCACCGGGCCGACCCAATGGCTGCCGATCTGGGTCACCCGCCGCTGACCGATCTAGGCAGGTGCGAAGGAGAGGTGTGTCAGACCGCTGGAGGCGGCACCACACCTTCTCTGAACCGTGGCCCCCAGCGCCGTCAGATAGGTACCGCTCGAGAACCGTACGTCCCAGCGCATTGCCGACTGCCACCCAACATATGTTCAGATGTTGGACTGTAGTTAGTAGAAACAGATGTAGTCGGTCAAACTGATAAATGACTGTGACCTTCTGAGCGTCAGAATCCGTCCCATCAGTTTTCAGAAAAGCAATAACCATTTCTTTCCATCCAGGACGGTCGTTTTCCAGACAGGCTGCGCAGCTCTTACATTAATGAAATGGTATCATCTCACCGTCCCTTTACCTGGGAGTCCGGCAATAGCCCGTGCCGGCAATATACGAGCCATGGTTATTAACCAGCACACCAGAGAGCCACGAGCTGCTCATAACCACACCCTCATTTCTACTGCATGACACCGGTAACACCAGCTGCAATGTCCACCATGAATCACTGAGCAGCAGTCGCGGCAGGGCAGCTATACGGCAGGATATGGCACCGGGCGGCGGCAGAGGCAACCCGTCGACCTGCGGTCACAGCGCACCAGCTTTCACCGGCACCCGGCAGGGCGGACGGCCCGCGGACGGAACCTGTTTACCTTCAGTTGACCGCAGTGCTCGCCTCTGAGGATGGCCTCTGATAAGGAGGCCAGGTGCCGCGACGCGTGCTCAGTGTGTTCAATGACGAGTTGGCCGTGGATTCCGCAACGGGTATAAGCAATTGTTTGCCAGAGGTTTAAGAGGATTGAGTTTTAGAAGACTGGGATGTTGAATGAAAGCTCGCCCCTCATCACCAAGATCGAACGTCAAGCCACGTCATCCTCCTCTCCATCCTCGTCTCTCTCTCTCTCTCTCTCTCTCTCTCTCTCTCTCTCTCTCTCTCTCTCTCTCTCTCTCTCTCTCTCTCTCTCTCTCTCTCTCTCTCTCTCTCTCTCTCTCCTCTCATTCCACCCTCTCCCTCCCGCCGCCAGCTCCGCCCGTTGACCCAGTGTGACCCGGATGGCACAGTTGCAGCTGGCTCGGCCGGGCCGGTCGGCCCGTGGCACACATACCACAGCTAGCTCAGAGACGCCGCTGGCCTGCCCTCAGAGAGCGGCGGGTATCAGCCCGAGCATCAGCCCGCAGCGCCGCGCCGAGTTCGGGCCTCGGTCTCCCGCTGAGACCGGCACGACTCGACACGGCTCTGGATAAACTTTGGGCGACTCTGGATGACTCGACACGACTCTGACTGACTCTACACAACTCTAAACAGGCTAGTCAGGGAGGAGATGTGAGTCGCTCGCTCGCTCCGGTTGGCACCGCGACGGGCGCTGCCGCGACCAGCCGGTAGCGCCCACCTGCCTCGCACATAAAATCCATTCATTAGCGGGAGTATTTCTGGACGCACCTGCCCCGGGATACGTTGCGCTCAAACGGCCCTCAGACACGCGCCTGCTACCAAGCGGAGCTTAGACGCTTCTACCGAAATGGCACGGATGTGCCGCCATCAACGTTACCATGCCGCTTTAGCAGCACATCGCGCCCGACTGGGAACGGCACGAACCGGCCTCTCGGATTCATGAGGAGGGATTTCATAGCGTGCGGTGCCACTGCAGCCCGCCCGGATTCAGACCACCCAGGTAGCTACCTTGCATTAGAATCATCAGTTGGGCTCGGGTGCCTGAATGATGGGAATGGGTGCCAGACCGTTGGGGGCAGGGTGCCTGTCAGTGGGTGCCGCGGAGTGAAGGTCGATGGGTGCAGAGTGTCTGTCAGTGGGTGCGCGAGGGTGCAGGTCGGTTGGCGCTTCTACCGGAGGCGATCGGTGCGGGTCCAAAGAGCCCTCCAGTGGAGAGTTTTCAGCGGTGAGCCACCGCGCGTGACACGGGTGTGTTGTGAAGGCAGGCAGGACTCTCCAGCGCGCGGGGATCAATAGAGCGCCGGGCCGACACGACCCAGCCGGTGCCGCGCCGTGCCGTGCCACTCAGACGGACCAGTCGGATGTTGAGGTGCTCCAAACACTCGGCGGACTGCCCCGACCCGTGTTTGGCTTGAGTCTGGTCTAGAACTCTCAAAGGGGTATAGTCCTTGGAACGTTTTGACTGTGTTATTTTATATCAAACCTTTTATGTTTGAGCAATTTTGGGGTTATTTAATTTTCGTCCATTTAATTTGTTATTATTTTCAGCGGGCAACGAACGTTGATATTGAGGACCCCTCGACGGCCACTCAGTCGTGTCCTGTTGTGTTGCCTTATTTCCTGTTGTGCCGTTTCGCGTCGTATTGATTCGTTCAGTCGTGTTCTAACCCTTACATGGTGCAGGTGGCCGCGGTTCGATACTGACCGGAAATCTACCCATCCTTGCTCTGACATCCGGCCGGGCTCGAGTCACCCATCCGCGCCCGCCGACTAATTACCCGACATTCCCTCGCGGAAACGCGAGATTAGCTAACGAGGGGCGGGTGCGGTGCGACCGAAGACCGGTGGCAGGTGGGCAGGCCAGGGCGGAGACAGCCGAACGGGGTGAGGGGATTGCGGCGGAGACAGCGGAGAGGGTGAGGGGATCGCGGTGGGCGGATAGAAGCCGGGGAGCGGCCGAGTCCTTCCGGCGGGGCGGTCCGCAGTGTCAGGGGAGGCGGGCAGGGGAGAACGGAGGAAGAGGGGCAGACTGGGTGAGGGGAGTCGAAAGGGGACGGTCTACAGATGTCCCGCCGGAGGTGTCAGCTGGCGTGCCTGTGGTGGGGGCGGACAGCCGGCTCACACCGTATATGGCGGCGGCGGCGGCAGCTGGGCCGGGCCGCATTCCCCGCCCGTCCTCCATCCGCCCGGGCCACGCCGCCCTATCAGCTGCCCTCCGAGGAATCCGCCAGGTGGCGGGCGAGCGCCGGGGGACCCACCTGTCCCCCCAGAGGCACCCAGCACGTGCAAACACTGACACGCACAACAGCCGGCACGTACCGGGCAACGTGACCGCCCCGGGGGCAGAAATCTCATCCTGACTCGAGAGCCCTCCTCGTCTCTCGTAGCGCAGAGATGAAACGGACGGGATGTGCAGCTTTATCTATTATTATTTCTCCTTTGATTAAAGCCCAAGGGCTGCTCCAAAGGAAAATATATGCGTCATTGGGAGGTAAGTGTTATGTTACACGACGGAAAATCATTGCAAGAGACTTCAAACGCAGGTGCAGTGGGATGTTTACCAGCCCGACTTTTTCAGGCGGCTTGCTTGCTTCTTTGGCAGCTTGTACGTGTATCAATGCTGAAGTTTAATAAGACATTCAGCTGAAAATCTGGTCACGTCGCTCACTTTGCCCGTATTGAAACACCACACGAAAACGTCAATTTCAGATGTGTTTGTCACCCAAATTTTCCACGAATAGTTTATTAGGTTTAAAAAGAGTTTCTCGTTAAGTTTGCAAATGCATTAATTAATAAAGAAGCACTTCATGCTAAAGTTATCAAAATAACAATAGATCCGAAATGCATAACAAATGATAATCTAATGTGGGTCCAAGGTAGGTACCCGGTTCCAACAAAAGTTGGCATTGATCCTGAGAGATAGTTTGGTTTGTTTTTCCCCCTCATATAATGATGGCAATTTGCGTAGGTACGATAAGTTGCAATCAAATTATTTCGTGTTTATCTCAAAAATCCAAAATCTACTGACAATATTCTCGTCATGCAACGCTAAAATAAACAGGTCATTTCTGCGCAATTAGCAGCATTCAGGCGGCCCTTAATGTCAAGCAAATGATATTTGTGCCTTTCAATCAGCCCAATCTAGGTCGTCTCTCGCGCATTCACGCGTCTGGCTCAGTAAACACGTCTGCGCCACTGTCAATAACCCAGCCGGTCTTTCCTAGCCTCTCTAGTTCGAGCGGCAGAGTCGCGCCCCGGGGGAGCGGCGGCGACCGCAAAGCGCGGAGCCCCCGGCGCCGCCGCGACCGGAGGCGTTTTTGTGCGCGCTCGATTCTCGTCGACGTGTGGGTTTTTGTCAGCGCTCGTCGTCGCAGTGCGTGAGCGATGGGAAGATGGAGACGCCGCCGCCGAGGACAATGGCCGACGGCCCGTGATGCGCAGATGTGGTCATACGCGACCCCTGTTTACCGCTCCTCTTATGGTGATTGGATGGGCTTCAATAATGCACGAGGGACAAGAATAGACCGATCGTTTCGGACATCTTGGTGCGCAGATGTGTTTGTGCGCAATAATATTTGCAACTGCTTAAAATTGTATCTGCCAAGATATTGCAAAAACACTCATTCAGCTTAATCCCTCCCTATTAATTCTCTCCCTCATCATATTTGCTCGTAATGTATGCAGCATTTTCTGCATGACCTGACCCACTGACCTGATCCAGCGATCCGACCCACCCACCAACTCGACCTACCTTGCCGAGGAAGTGTCTCCGGTAGCACTTGGCCGTCTCGTCGCACTCGATCTTTGGCTTCCAGCTGTGCGCGGGCAGCACGGGCTCGCCGCGCGCGTCCAGCGGCGTGTCGTGCTCGGTTCCGTCCACCCAGTACTCGTCGTCAGGCCTGGTGAGCACCATGGGGTAGGGCGGGCCTCGGCGCAGCGCCTGCTGCAGCATCTCGGACGGACACCGCTTGTCGGGCGGCGGCTTCGGCGGGTCCTCCTTCGACGGCTGAAAACAGACGGAGGGAGAGACGAGGTGAAGGGTTTGTAGCGCGTTAGATGACAGCGAAATACAGCGGCGATTTATCGTCAGTAGAATGTCAATATTGGTGTTATGAAGAGCAACAGGCGGACACAACAAGTGGAGAACAGCACGATGGATGGTTAATGGTGCAGCATTGATGGTGATTGATCGTAAGAAAGCTCAAAGCGAGAAGTGCAACGAAAATCATGTAACAAAAAGCGACGAATATGGAAAGCGTCCTGGGGAGATACGTTTGGCTGACTCGCTAATAGTAGCCTCCTGACAGTTGTGTAGAGTGCGTGAGATAGCTTCCCGTCCCAGCCCGGCTCGGTGGCTGATGCCGTAAGCAGTGGTGGCTTTTTGCCCTTCGAGGTCACCGTCAGCACGCGGCGGCCGGGTCGGGGCCGGGGGCAGAGAAAGGAGCGGCGCCACACAGACTGCCGCCAGTAAACTGCAGCGCCTCTTCCTTCCGCCGGCACTTCACACGATCCCCTCTCTCCTCCCTCTCTTCCCTACCTCCCTTCCTCTCGCCGCATCCCTCTCCAAACCGAGAGACGGCTGTGGCGCCGCCGTCCGGTGCCGCCAGCTGCGACCAGTAATTGTCCCTAAATCTCACTGTCAGAGAGGCTCGGCGCGGCGTTTTCTGGACACGCTGTGTCCCTTGGGAGCGTGTCCGACGCAAGATATTCCCTCGCCGCGCCGCCTTCGTCGCCGCCGTCTCGTAGGTCCGATGGGACGAACGAACGAACGAACGAACGGACGGACGGACGGATGGACGGACGGACGGACGGACCGACTGGACCGCTTGGAATAATGGCAGTGCCGAGCGGACCGTAAATCGCAGCGAGCTCTGAAAATCCATAATGTCGTCCGACGACCTCCATCGTCCGGCCTGACGACAGTCCGTCGGACGCCGCTCCCAACACGACCCAAACGTCCACCAGGCGCCGGCCGGCCGGCCAGACGGGCCGGTCAACAGTCGCCTCACGGTCAACATCTCGGGCCTTAATTGCATCGGAGTTCTGTTTATCTTTCCTAGAGTGTTGACAGATGGGCGGTTTACCCAATTTCCGCACAGACATCTGTCTGGAAACCCATGTCTGCACACTAACAGCATTGCTGCTCTATGAAATTGTACACCTAGGCGGACTCAGCAAATGGCCTGCGGTCGCCGCGAGACAGGCCGTTGCTCAGAATGACGACCGGAAGGGACGCTGGATGGGTCATATCTGTCTAACTGACCGCGCTCCGGGCGGATTCCGGCAAATCGGCCTCCGGGGGGACGGGGCCACCGGCTGCTGCAGCTCTGTCTGTGCACTCACATCGGCTGCGGGAGGGATCTCAGCGGCTGCTGCACTCCGCACTCGGCAGCCATATTGGGAGAGCCGAGTCAACAGCCCGCGGGCAGCTGATAGCGGGTTGGGGAGACACGAGGTCCGGCCTCGGCCATAGAACCGGACAAGACCGGAGTCCCAGTCGAGGTGGCAGTCCCCGGACCATTTGGCACGGCTGTTTAACGCTACGCTGGCGGCGGGCCCGGTTTCAAGGCAGCCCCGGTCCCCTCGTGCCCGTTCCGACCTGGCTGGCCGAGTCGGTTCGGGCCGCCATTTTGGAGGTGTTCACGGACACATACAGGGTCGCCTGAGCGCGCGCACCGCTCGTCCTGCCAAGGTTTGCTGGATAAATGGGACGCCGATCCGCTCCACTACCTCCCCCCCCCCTCCCCCAGCGTCTGGCAGCCGGCGCCGCGGCCAGTGCGACCCTCGGCCGCTAAACTCATCTCGAAATCACGCTGAAATCGATGGCCCGTCGTCATGGCGACGAATTAAACAGTCGCCGACCGGCCGGCCGCACTGACGCCGATCGTCGGGGCCCGAGCGGGGTCAATGTCAAGGTGGCGGTCGTCCGCAGTCCCCATTCTTCAGGGGCAGGTGAGGGGCCGGGTAGAGTGTGGAGCGGAGGGTAGAGGGAGGGTGACTCACGGCCGGTTCAGCAGGCTGGCTGTCGGCTGCAGCCCGCTGCCAGTAGCGGCCCCGCGTGCGTCACAGCCCACAGGTTGTCCGGCGGACTAGCACTCCAAGGTATAACCGCTCCAAACACAGAGCAGTGGCTATTGAAAGGTTATCGATGGGTAGCTAGAAGCGGCTGCAGCCCAGCTTCGCGTGAATTTGAAGACAACAAAAGAAGTCAATTACCAGTGACACAATTGTGTGTAGTTGCGGAGCCACTGGGCAGTCGAAGAAATATCATTGATATCAAATTACATGTCTCATTGATAAAATCCAACATATCACAAGACCGTGTAACAAAACGTAACTGAGTATATTCACCATCCTGCCGCTATAGCAGCCTGCTATAAGCAGTGCCATCCGGCCGCAAATTGAGTTACGCTCTGCTTTGTCCCGTTACCCCTCCACCGAGTGAGTGACGTTTCCTGGGTCCCGCTCGGCGTCGCGTCACTCCACACGTGCAGCGCTGCACCCCAACCCCACCACCAGGATCGAAACAAAGGCCGCACGGACCACCCTCTGTTTAGTCTGCGTGGGGCGCTGTCTCACGCGCTCCAGACCTCCCCACGTGTCTGCAGAGGTGTGACGCCGTGACGGTGAGCTCCCACTCCCACAGAGGCGTCCCCTCCAGATCCCACGGCTCCCCGCTGCCTCCCAGACCAGGGTGGCGCCCTGCCGCCCTCCGCGGCCCCCAGATGACATACCGTGAGCGGCGTGCGGGCCGGTCGCGCGATGGGCTGCGGTGCAGGGTAGAACATTTCCTCCCGTATGCTCCCCAGCGCGAGGACCCTCACAAATGGCAACAGGGCGGCGGCGGCGGCGCGGGCGCGGCCGGGACAGTCGGCGCAGCAGCTCTCCCCAGCAGCCTGCTCAGCCAGTCACTGCAGCGGCCAGGGCCGCGGCGCGCGCCGCCGCCTCCGTCGCCATGGTGACGCCGTGGTGTACCTGACCAGTCAGCTGGCGGAGCGCCGCTCAGCCAAGGACTCCGGCCGGACGGCGCCGGCGGAGCGCACGCCGCAGCAGAGGGGAGCACTGCTCACGCTGACGAAGCTGTTCCGGCTTACCACCCAGAACGGGGGAGAAGAGCGACTGGTGAGCCGGGAGGAGCGACCCGATTGGCTGGTGGCAGACCCGCTCTGCCGCGCTCAAGTGGTCCACTTTTTGTGCGACTTTTTGCCATTGCTGTTGGTACTTTCCGAGGACTCCATAACACACCGTACGGCACACCCGAGCAGACCATGCCCGATAGAACACTGGCCGTTCTGTTTGTCGTGCGTCCATTTCGGTCAGGTAATGAGACGGCGCGGTGTTACGTTTTTGTCGTTAGCGGCTGTGATGCAGTCTCCGGGCCGGCGGCGTGTATTGCGGCACAGACTATCAGCGCAGGTAAATATGCTGCCGCGGCACAATACTGCGGGAATGAGAATTTATCGCATTACCACAAACGTTGTCCAGAGTGGTGCAGCGGCTCTGATCTGCAGTATCAACTTTCCGCACATTGTAAGTAACAAGTTTATCCCATCTCTCCACACAAAACCGCAGGTAGCGAGCAAGAAGGAAAAATGGGGGTAATGCAGCATGCCAATCACGATCAGCTTGATTTCTGATGGATCAGGTTCTGCTTTTCCCAATAGAATTTCTTCTCGGTAACAATATGCACAGTGGGACTTAGCGCTGGCATTCAATTATGACATCTGCAGAAGTGGAAAAAAGCGCACTGCTGAATAAAATATACCAAATAACACAGAAGCGCATTCCCATAAGAGACAACACGGCACGTAGGGAAGTCCCACAGTCGGGCAATCAATGGTAAAAGCCTGTAGCGAGCACAGCTGCTCGTCCGACAAGCCCTGGTGACCTACGGCCTGCTCTAGCTCTCGGCGGGGGCAGCGTCGCAGACGACGGGCGTCGGCCCGCGGCGCACCTACGTCGCAGTCGACGCCGGCGCCTCGGCTCATTACCGGGTCAGCGGAGTGCGGTGTAGACAGAGGCCAGTCCAAGGGCAGCCGGCGTGCCACGGACCCGTCCCCGCGGGCGGGGGCGGCGGCGGGGGCGGGGGCGGCACGCCGTCCTATCGGCCCCATCGCCACTCAGCACAGAGCGGCTGGTGGTCAGGGGCAGACGGCCCGCGCGGCGGGCCGCTGCCGACACCCTCAGCTGGAAGGGCAAACACGCTCCTCTGCTGGGGTAGATCCGCGCTGATAGCAGGGTGCCATCAGCATAATGGCCAGAGTGGATCCGGCGTCAGAGCGCGCCACTCAGGCCATACGGCCAATGACATTGGGAACTGACAGCCTCCACATTACAGCGAGGAAAACACAAGTACACAAACTGAGACGGTATAAATAAAACTGAAACTCACTGCGCAGTACGCACTTCATGCATACAACCGTCAAGAGGTTTATTGTTTAGGTATATCACCGCTTCCTTGAACTGAGTCACGTTGAATGTCAAGCAAGGATCGTTGAGATGTGACAACAAAGTTGTTGAGCGACGGCAGCGCCAGTCTGGGTATCATCCGTCCAGGATCCGTCTCGTAAGTTATGCCAGACAAATACCTAGAGGAGGTGCTAGAATGCCCAAAGTGGATCTCAGATAGAAGAACCGAGCTAAATCGAATAATTTGTCACCTGCACCATTCCCAGAAGTTAAAAGTGCTTTAAATTTACGAGCTAGCTGCGACAAATTATGTGCTCTTTAAATACCAAAGCTAATGTTCCCCAAAGTGATTCGTTCATTGAACGAACAAACTCCGTAAGATTGCAATCAAATAAACTCGCATGGAGCGTCGCATGATTGCACATTGTAACAACGTCCTACTCGACTTCCTGCCTGACCTTACGTGCTGCAGGTGACTCACCACACTCGTATCAACTTTTGGCCTAACAGTTTCGACGAATTCGTCAGGTACGCTCCAACTGCTTCCGCTCAATACACCAGCCATGGGTTCAGTGAGCATTCAGGCAGCATTCAACC